TCCAGGCATTAGACACACAGTGGTAGGAACACTAAATGTCTGGATTTTTTACCTAGAAAAACCACTTATGTAACACACAGCTTTTAAATAGCTTAACAAATCCAGTACCTGATGTGACTGTGACCATGCATGCAAAGTTTCAACTTGTACAAGGAGAAAAAGAAAAATAAAGCCGACTGTAAATGGAAGTGCTTTCCCATCTTAACTGTATGGTATTATCATCAGTCACTAGAACCTTTTTCCAGTGTAATCTCACTTTTTTCATACCCAGTTTGCTCAGGTATATTGTAATTCCAGTATTTATATCCTTACATGGTTTTCTTTGTTGCTGCCTGTTAGGATATTTTAACAGTGACTGCAAGAAGTGAGTAAGGCAGGTACAGCCAGGTCAGTTCCTGATACTAGTATCAAGTCTTCTCAGGGAAGTGGTGAAAACTGCATAATTAAAGTTATTTATAATGTGACTTGATAAAAAATATTGGGAAAGAGGTGACAGTATAGTACAATAAGAGTTTTTCTTCTCTAATTTCTATTGCTTTATTTGAACTGTCCCTTGTACTATATTTTTGCAGTTCAGAGGCCAGTTTAGGAACAGAAGTGATCTTTATTTTGTGCAAAAGTGTGTGGTGTGTCCATATGTGTATTTTCTTAGATAGATACATAATGTAAATATGTAAGTTACTCATTACTGTGATGCTCTGCCATGTGATACTTCACACTACCATTTACCATCAGTGTTCAAATTTTTTTTTCTTCAAAAGGGCTCATAAAGGGCTCACGTTCAGTTGCAAATTATAAGTTTGGCAGAGCACATAAATTCATTAGCAGGGAGGTCAGATGTGCAAAAACCTTGACATATCAAAATGAGTCCTGACCTGGTCACTGAGACAGTTAAAAACAAAATATTTTAGATAGATGTTTACTTCCCCAATTTTGCTTTAAGCTACAGTCATCAATTATTTTGTAAGTCGAGAATGAATTTCTGGTGTAACTTTTTTCCAATTTTCTCTTTCATGATTATGATTAAAAAGCCTTCTGCTCATGTTATTTCCTGTCATTTGACCTCAATAGCTTTCTACTTTTTGATACATGAAAATAATTAAATTATGATTGGATAAATAACACATCTGAAAACAGCACTGGGAAAATAACAGATGAACATTACACTTGATAGTGCAATGAGACTGAGAAATGTTTTTCCATCTGGGTAAGATCCTGAGCTAAAGTTATCTTTTCATCCCTTTCCTCAGGAAAGAGAAAACTTATACAGAATGAAATTGGAATAGTGATGGGGAAAAGGCAACTCCTCTTTGCACCTTTTCAGTAGCAGAAACAAGAAGAAAATCAGGGGATAACAGAAACAAACCTCTCTTGGTCTTGGAGCAATTTTTAGCACTGATGGTGTACAAGAGGAGACTCACAGGCTGCAAGACCAAAATCTAGTGCAATGCTGATAAGATGTTGTAAAAAACAGCAAAAAGCCACCAATACTGTTATGTTCATATTTCTCTGTCGGGTGGAGCAGCTGCTACATACATCTCCCAGAGCAGCAGCTTAGTAAATGCTCTGAATTGCATTTGGAATCTCTCATCCCTGCCTCTCTGGGGAAATGAGTTAAGGATGTGCAGAAGAACCATGCAAATAATCTTTTTCTCAGAAAAAAGTAGCTTAATTCAAGCCAGTATTGAAAAAGAGATAAAATAGGGTTAAGCTGTTATCATATGCAGAGATATTTGAGGTAGTAGTCTGTATATTGATGGCAATTTAGTCTGAAAATAGTGTTTATTAACTCAAATATGTTGGACTTGAGAAATTAAACAATATGAAGATAAGAGATGCTCTACCCTGGATGATAATGACAGGCTTGGTAAATGCCAAAACCACAAATCTGTGTGAACAGAGCACACCAGCCAGGACAAGGCTGGAGAGAGGGCAGCCAGGAAAGCACCAACAGAAGACACTTTGAGAGAGGCAAAATTGGCTCACCCTGTGAAAAAAAAAACAAAACCAAAAAACCAACAAATCCAAAGCAACAAAGACAAAAAGCTAATATAGAATTAAAATCTGGATTAAGTTGCTACTTATCCCTCAGGATCTGCAAAGTAAAATTAACATTTATTGCCCCCTTTGAGTATAAGATTGGTTATAGAGCTTTATTCAGATGATGGAGTTTGATAGACATAATCTAAATCTGAAGTACATGGTAAGAGTATGTGTGTGTAATCTTCAAAATATATAAATTGGGGGCTTTTGTTTGATGGTTTATTCAGAGTTTTTTTTACAAAACTCTTCTTCTTTTGTCAGATGAAGTGCCTACATGACCACAGATGCTGCAGAACTATTGTACTCTTTTCTAATTTTACTGAGTTTTATTTGCCTTTAGGATGACTACAGAAGAGGCATATTTGGATTAAAACAATAATACCAGAGTGGTGTCAATGAACAGAAGTGGTAGTACACCTAAAGCTATAAAGGTTATTTTGTGGTGACACAGTTTTCCAAACATACAGTAACAAGAACATCATTTAAGCATTAAATTCACTTTGGAGCAGGAGGAAATACTAAAATAAAATCATTATATGTTGCAGTAGTTACCTCACTTGCTACTGAAATGCAGTTGTTTCTGGGGATGTGCTGTAGCTGTGCAAATACCCTGGAACATTTTAGAAGTTTGAGAGTACCTGCAGTGAGATAAGTAGAATGAAAATACCAAAGTGGACAAGGATATCTTGGTTTGTCCCAAATATACTGGAGAGTAACCATGGGGTATTGATGTAATGTGTCCTCCAGAAAAACACCCGAGCATTGTTTATATAGTACTTTTTCTTTTTTTAAAACCATTTCATTTTGGTTTAGCGTGTGTGAGAGTTTAACAAGCATTGACAAGGCCTGACCATGCCTTGGTGATGTCCATCTGAAGCACATTATCAACACCAGTAATGAAATCTGTCATTTCTGTGTGAGGATTTAAAAAACCTCCAAAAACAGTGAATTGCTTTTAAGTAAGAGTGGATATTATTTCTGTCCCAGCTCAAAAATAGTTGCCTTTAGAGGATATATAATAATGCTTCTTTTTTTGTATATTTTTAATAAATTTTGTTTAAAAAATTAATTTCCAATCCACTGAGAATTGGTAGCGTCTGTTCCTTTCTATTGCAATCGATCTTGTTAATTCTATAAAGAGTCTGTAGGCATTTCTTTTGCATATTGTATTCTTTTGTGTGCTTTAAAAACTCCTGCTACACTGTATATTATTCAGCCATTTGTGGCTTGAAACCCTGCCTAAATGCTGGCTTATGTTTCCGCATTTTCAAGCCGGAGCTTTTTATGTCTCACAGCTCAAGTCTTGCAGCAATAACACTGAGTTCCTGCTATGGTTAAAAAAACACCACCCTTTTGTAAATATCATCTGCCACCACTTTATTGCACAATGAATAGATTTACTTTGGAGGGTTGCAATATCTCATGTGACTCTCTCGCTCTTTTTTAGGCTATAGTTTTCCATAGTTATAGACTTTTAGGCTATAGTTTTCTATAGTTATAGACTTTTCCAAAAAGTAATCAGCCATAGAATGCAAATAGTTTTGCATTCTATGGCTGATTACTTTTTGGAAAAGTCAAAGTGGAAGATTTCTGACTGAATTCCGCATGTAGGAGAGCCTTCAAAAAGTCCTTTCTGTATTTGTTCATTGTACTAATATTAAGCCAAACTTCGCAGAGACTTCACTGCTTGGAAGTACTATCTCTGTTCTGTCACCAGCCTTATCTGTTAAATCCCAATGAGTGTGAAAAATGAGAAAAATCTGGGTTTACTTGGCTGTTTCAGCAGTATGTTGAGAATGGCCAGATTGCTGCAGAAGATGACTCTCTTGGAAATCCTAACAGCCCAGCCTTCTCATCTGTAGGCACATAGAGCTCATCTGAGTGTGTAAATAAAAATAAATAATGCAGTGAAAAAATATGCAGAGTATTTTGCTGAAGTGTTTCAATTTTGGATTTGCCATAACTAATTTAAATCTTCTGTTGGGATTTATGCAGGCAGGAGGGTCAGGTTTACAGCGTTTGTAATTTAAAGATTTTCTGCTACTGCACCTTTTCTACTTTATATCCTGTCATGATATCTTTTTGCTGCAAAGAAAGTCCCTTTTATTCCCTTTTCCTTTTCTGCTTTGAAGAGAACATTTGCTTCTCTTTTTATATGAGGTAATGAGATCAGAGTAGCTCTGGATTCTTTAAATCAATCTAATTTGGCTTCTTTTGGTGGATAGAATATCCTTTTGCACAGGCCTTTCATTTCTTTGTGCAGCAGCTCCATCTCCAGCACTAGGTACCTGTGAAAAACGCGTACTTTATGATTGGCTTTTCGGAAGTATTAAAATGAATATTATATGTGTTCTGTTAGAAAGTTATGCTGTATTAATTCTCTTAAGTAGTGTGTTAAATATAGTTTTAGGTTGTAACATAATGTTAAAATAGAAACTATGCTTTAGTATGTGGATACTTTTTTTAAAGGAAGGACTTGCAGCGAGATAGCAACCACAGGACACCTACATCTTTCAGAGAAAAGGGATTAATTGCTTTCTTAGCAAAAAAACCTAACTTCTTCCTGCCTCGCTCAGCCCTGAAGATGCCGTTAGGATTGAGAGGAAGAAGTTGACACTGACCAGACAGAATCCTGTGTTTGAATGGGATTTATGCATCATGTGTGAGATGTATAAATATGCCACAGGTTATTGTTTTTAAGGGTTAATCTCTGTTAACGTGTATCCTTTTTCGGGTTTATGCTGCCCAGAAAAAGGTACCCGGATGTCCATAACTCTTTGTTTCTATTGTCTCATATTGTCCTAACCCAAATTGTCCAAGTTATTATTACTCTAATTATATTACTATTTTTACAACCATTTTATTACTATTAAACTTTTTAAAATTTTAAAACCGACGTGCCTTTTATTACCAAAGCCCAGCGAGCGGTTCTCACCGCTGCGTGCTGTGTGTTGCAGGCTGATCCACGGCGGGCAGCTGCTGAACGGGCTGGCGGGCCCCACGGTGATGAACGCCGCTCCCTTCCTTTCCACCACCTGGTTCTCCCCGGACGAGCGCGCCACGGCCACGGCCATCGCCTCGCTGCTCAACTACCTGGGCTCCGCCGCCGCCTTCCTGGTGGGGCCGCTGGTGGTGCCGCCCCCCAACGGGACTGCTCAGCTGGGAGCGCCCAGCAACACCCAGCACATCAAGGACCGCATCGAGGCCGTGCTCTATGCAGGTGCGCCTAAACCACAAAGTGTTCATGCTTTCCTGTGTGCTGGTGCTTGAGAGCCACTACCCTCTAGTGGCTGGTTTGCACAGGATCTAGTCTCTGCTTGGGGGAAGAGAATTAAGTGAGGAGGATTAATCTTTGAAATAGCCATTTGTACAGACTGACTTGAAAAGAAGTAGTTCAGTTGTTTGTATCGGCTGAACTTGGGAGAAATGTCTTCTTGGAGTTTCCCTGAGCTTCAAAACTGGTTTTTGCTTATTGAATTTTCATTGAAAATATGTTTCCATGACAAGTTGGCTTTCTACTACTGTTTCTGTAAGGATGGAAATTCAATAGTCTTTTAGCGTGAAATTCTATTCTGCATTAACTGAGCCTTAATTTATGACCTGCATGTGCCTTTCAAATGTGATTAGATAATTAGTATTTCAGAATCAGAAACATTAAAATTAAAACATGATAGATTTTGTTTTTAGCTAAGATCACGTAATTCTTACTGGTGAGCAATTTCAATGAAGTAACAACAGTTTAGTGGAAAAAATCACTGATACAAAATTCACCTGATAAAACTTGGGGTTTGTATCCTTGCTCTTTTTATTACAGTGGCTTCTATGCCTCTTCCTGTCACTTAAAAAATTAGCAGCAAACTTTAAGGAAACAGAATTGGTTACATGGTTGAAGTGTCTACATTCTAATTTTTAGTGAATATAAATTGGTACAGCACTAATGAGTTGCGCATTTGATAGGGGTTTTCCCCTCTTATAATTGCATCTTCTGAAATCCAGCCAGGAGTTAGTCCTAAGTGTTCCAGAAGTCCTAACATATATATGCTGTGTAGTTTATGTGGAGGTTTAGTGGATTGAGTTAGCTGTTTGTGATCATTTATTCCTGGACGTTATCCTTATGGAAATTTGTCAAGTTAATATTCCTGTTGGGTGAGGGCCACTTTAATGTTTGTTTTAAAGAAAGTGCAATAGAATTTGGATCATGACTTCAGCAAGTATTTTTGAGTAAGCTGCTTTTTACTGGACTCAAATGGAACAACAAGGAAATTCAGGTTTGGCTAAGCCTTTTTTATAAGTGTTCCATAACAAAATATGGTGTTAGGCTCTGAAAATCTCATGGCAGATGAAAATGTCTGGTGTGAAAGAAGGAAAAACGAAAGCAAGTCAGGTTTTGTCTTGAGGAGCAGTAGATAAGGGGAAGAAAACCCTAGCAATTAGAAAAGTGCTTTAGCTCTCCCTCTGCAGATTTTCCATGGAGAGGGAAGAATTCATCTGCCTAAGGAAGTACCGTGCTGTGCTTGAAACCACTGTTTTGAGTCTGGTAGCAGTAGAAATGTTGCCTTCAGCAGTGCATTAGATTCACATTCTCTTCTGTTCTCTTTCGGGAGGTTTTCCTAAGCATTTTCCTCAGAAACAGGGATGGGTGTTGCCACCAAGGTTCAGGTCTTGCCTGCCTCACATCTCAGCATGGCTCTTTCTACCTTTTGGAGCTGGCAAGGATGTGAGAACACCCTTGTAGACCTGTTTGGGATCACTGGTCCCAGCAGTTTATGATTCTACAGCAGCTCTTCAGCTTCCTAGGAATTGTGTTTTATGGGGCATCTGTATTTCTCACTTAGTATTTGAAAGTGCTTTGAACAGAGATAGTTTCTTTGTGCTGGTGTTTGTGTCCTATGGGATGTGTATTTTCAGGAGCTGCAAACCCTGTAGCTGTTCAGACAATGACAGAGAGATGCTTTGTGAATATTGCTGGCCTGCAGTGAATCACAGTAATGATGGAAAACCTCCAGCTGATTTAAAATTGCTAAGAACTGTCAAAGAGGAGTTTGCTTTGAATCCCTCATGGGATTTGTTCTGTCTCAGCTTAGCTCTGTTTCCCTGGAGAGCTGAAAGCACAAGGTTCCTTCTGACTGCTTCCCTCTGCTCTCTTGTGCCCCATGGGGTCCAGAGGTGGAAGGACAGCTGCTCCATAGTGGGTAACAGTGAACAGACAGCTCTGTTCACCTGTGGGACAAAAAATACCTGGTAGTTGTGGTAGGGCACTATTTGTCCCCTTAAACAGCTGTGCAGAAAACTAGCCTCAAATTGACTTCACAGATTAGAAGTAAAGGTTTTGCAGAATGCAGAAGAGCAAGAAGCTGGACCCAAATGTCCCACTTCCCCACTTCTTCAGCAAGTGTGGTCAGGTTTGGTATGACTTGTTCTTTCAGGTACTATGGGAAAGCCAGTTCCACAGGGTAAGCACTCTGCATTTCTAATGAGCTTCTTGCTTTTGTGTGAGCTAGCATTAAATAAGCAGCCTCCAAAACTTAGATGATGTCTTTTAAAAGACAGTAAGGATGTGAATTGTTGACTGGGGATCAGTAGTGTGCCAACAGTGTGCAAATTTTCCAAGAACTTAAGCTCAAACATGATTACGAAGCAATTGCTTATAAACACATTCTGAAATTGCTCTGTTAACTCCAGTCTCTTCTGTGTTTTAATAAATTGCTGTTCCTTTATCTCAAACATGGACTCAGAGCTCAGCTGAATTGCCACAGCCTCTTTCTGTGTCATCTGTGTTGCTACACATTCTGGTTCACAGCTCAAGTATTATGGGTGTAGCAAATCAGGATTGAATTGTATTACCTGAATTGTGTAAGGAAATGAATTATTCCAGACTGCAGCCAGAGCTTTTAGCCTTGTACTTTCCTAAATATCAATGTAAAATTATTATTTGTTTAAAAAAAAAAAAAAAGGGTGTGTGTGTAAGGAGCCCTCATGCACCCTGGAATATTCCCCCAGAACAAGGTGGGGAGGAGGGTTTCTGGAATTGAAAAGGTTTTTGTGATATGAGTCGCCTGTCTAAAGGAAAAATACTTTGTTATCAAGGAGTCTTGAACCTCTTTTTTTTTTTTTTCCTTTCTTTATTTTTTTTTTTCAGTCTGTTTGGGGTTTACACGAGCATCATGGTGCCTGCTTCCTAGGCTGAGATGCAGGCATCTCTCACATCACAAGTCACTATGGTGTGATACACAGCTTTTGTGAAGCATTCCAGTTTCACTCTTCAACAAGTACACAGATGTGTACATATCTGTGTCTCTGCACACTAATTTATGAGTTGCCCCATTTCATGTGCTTTGCTCTGTTTGAGAGCATCCATTGCACTTTTGAGAAGCTGGCAGCTTCTTCTAAAGAAGAGCCTCTCTTGTGACTGCAGCTCCCTGCAGCTCCCTCCTTCTCAGCATTGACCTATTTCTTACCTTCTCAATTTTGTTTACTTTCACTCACTACTTAACTGCCCAGGAAAAGTTTTAGATTGTATTCCTCTTCCTCTACTCTGGTAAATTAAATTATGGAAATAAGGGTGTGGGTTTCCTGTTGAGGTAGGATTTCAATATGTAAGAAATCAGATGTGTTTGGCAGTACCTGGACTTTAGATAGAGGTGTAAGTATTGTATACAAAGCTAAGATGGCACTAAAAACTTATATTCTTCAACAGAGGGAGATGCTTTTGTTTCCACTGTGAATTTGTCACTTTTCATTTAGGCATAGAGCAGAGCTATCTAGGCAAATTTGTTAGCCTGCAAAGTATAACACTGGGAAACATTAAAGAGTTGCAAGAAGGTACTACAAGGACAGCATCCCGAACTTAGTAATTTAAAAAAAAAAAAAAAAAGGTTACTACTGCTCCAACTACAGTAATTTGACTGGTAGAAATCTTGAGGCAGTGCATAGATGAGACCCCAGATGGGCACCTGTTATGAAATATATCTGTGATTTAAATATTTCTGTGATTCTGCAGAATAAAACCTGGCCTTTCCTCGTATAGCATTGCAATATGACAAGGGCACTTAAGTACCTTGGACAAAATTGATGGGATTGTGTCATCACATTCTTGATTGGCTATACCTGTGTGCAGTCTTAAATCTTCCTTTAATATGTGATTAAAATGTGTGTAATATGTATGTCTATAAACCTATATGCAGACTAGAGGCGGGAGGTGAGGGGATAAACAGCTTTTACTAAAGAGCTGTGAAATATCATCCTGTAGTGACAGAGCATCTCATCCCTTCCTTAGGTCTGGGGTGATCAGTTACTGCCAGTTCTTTATTCACTGCTCATGGTCTCCAATGTGCACAAAGATAGAAATTAATCTGTTTTCTGAAGAGCAAAGGAGTGAGAAGATCTAGTTTAAGTGCCCTTGGCCCTTGAAACATGCAGTTACACCACAGCAGGAAAAGAGACACCACGTAATTCAAAATGAGTCCTTTAGTATTTGATGATGAAAAATGGCATTGTCACACTCCCGATATGCCTTTTTTCCCATATGCCAAATAGAAGCATTCATTTCCCTTCTCCATCTCCAGCTGATCCATTTAGACTCTGAGTGTTATTTACTTTTCGGTTTCCTGAATTTATTTTCTTCTAGTTTAGCAGAAGACCTGGCGAAGTGCCATGTTCATATTGATTTATTAAAAAAGAGAAGAAAAAAAAAAGAAAATTAAGGCAATTGAGTATCCAGCTCTGCTGGAATTTATTTGTGCTGTCAGTGAACACTTCTTTGTTATAAGATCACAAGTTCTTTTAAGATAACACACTTCAGCTATACATTTTTCTCTCTATCTGCAAAGAATCTTGTTTTCAAAGGCAGTAGGAGAAATACTGGGATTGAGGACTGTAGAGAACATGATATATATTGTAAAAGGCCTGTAAAACAAATTAATTAGACTGACTGTGGGTAGAGTTGTTTCTCTTCAGAATGTCTGCTCATGGGACTTAGTGTTTTCTGTGAAGTGCTCATCACTTCTCAAGCTCAGGTCCAAACTTCTTCTATGAAATTTTTCGAAGATTTGGAATTCCTGCTGCTAAACAAGCAGAGCATCCACAAACAGCTGTATTCTTTATTTTCCCCCTCTTACCTGTACTTTTTCTATTCATGAGCCATGGCTGCTTCTCCACTTTGGTCTTTATATTCTGTTGCCATGTAGTACTGTTTGTGTCGGAACTGCTGCCTTGCTTGACCTTTTGTTTGCCTTCATCAACTTGTGCAATGAATAATTGTTATTCCATGCCCTGAGGCTTCCCCGGTCCCATCTGTTTCAAGTCTCTAGCATGCTGTTACCTGCACTGAGTTACTTCCATTGAAAGGAAACTTGGCCAAGTCCTCATATTGCAGTTCTCTCTGAAGAGAAAAAGCAAAAGCTTTCCTTTTGCTTCACTGGGTTCTCTGTGTGTGAGCCTTGTTCTCTGTAGTACCTATCACTGGAATGGACTGCCAGTCTCACTGATTCTCCATCTCAATTTGAAATCTTGTTTGGGGAAGGAGAAAGAAATTCCTCCTTCAAGTTGCAGAATTCTGTTGTCAGGAGCAGTCAAGCACTTGTGATGGGATTTATGTCTCAGAGGCTGGCTGATAACAACACTGCAGTGAAATAAGTCTTTCAATGCTAACATCTGTTCTTGGTTTTGTTTTTCTTTGCCCTCTTGTTTAGAATTTGGAATGGTTTCCCTGATATTTTCTGCAGCGTTGGCCTACTTCCCCTCGCGCCCTCCATTCCCCCCCAGCGTGGCTGCAGCGAGCCAGCGGCTCAGCTACAGGAGAAGTTTTTGCAGACTCTTAAGGTAGGACCTCATTGGGTTTCCACTTCAAAGCAGATCAGTGCCTAAGTAAATAAAAACAAGTGTGCTTTAATCTTCTCATTGAGCAAACAAGTTGGTTTGTAGTACTTTTAAACAAAATAAAATTAAATATTAATGTCAAGACATAAAAGGATGCTAACTGCTAAAGAGCAGACATTAAATTTTAAACCACTGTGTGTATCTCCAGTCTTCACGCCAGTCCTTCAGCACCAGCAGTGCTTTAGTCATCCTGTTAGCATGGCTTTTCTTATGCAATGCTTCTGTTACATCAGGTTATACAAGATTGTTAAAAGTGAGCAGTGAGAAAACAGTGAATAACGCCGGGCAAAACTAACTTCTAAGCTGGTTTTCTCTGTCCTTATTATATTGGAATGAATTTGGGGTTTACTTGTCTTTTGAAGGATTATTCAGCTGCTTTCATTTAACCATCGAAGCAATGAATGAACTATCTAAAACTGTTATATGATTTATTAAATCTCATTATTTGTATGTTAAAATACAAAGCGGGAATAGGAAAAATGTCTTCAGGTGTGTTTCTGGATAGACTCAAAGGTGAGCTAACTTGCTTTGAATTTTTAGGTTAAATAAAAAGAGAGGATATAAAGAAAGTAACAGTATTGCAGCTTCTCCCTCTTGGGTTCTTTTGGCAAGACACAGTCCCACTTCCCCCAGTGTTTGTACAGTGTCTTGTGTAATGTAAATATGATCTGAGAGGAGCAGCTAAAGCAACTGTAATATTAAGGGTGAATAATTTGAAGGCCATGCCCTGTAGATGATACTGCACAGAGGAGCTTCTGGGGCAAAGAAGAGCTGCTCCCCTGGTACGGAGTATGACTGACTTCACTGGGAAGCTTCTGACTCTTGCTGTAATTGTTTGTTGAGTGATGGAGGAGCTGAATCTGCATATAAAGGGTTGCTTGAAGCTCGATAATTGTGCAGCTTTAGACATTTAGTTACTACAGGCCTATTGTGGGCTGTACTTTCAATAATTGTATTTAGAGGCAGGGAAAACAACTCATCCTTTGTCACTGGGTTTTCTTCTGGTTTTGGAGGCTTTTTTTTTTTCGTTTGGGGGAGTCAATAGTTGGCAAGATCCTTAATCCTGTGTGTTCATCCTGGAGCAGGCTGGCACTCAGGAGGTGTGAGTACAGCTGGGTGGTTAGTCTGCTAAGTGACCTATTCAGGGTATTAAAAAATAGCAGTTCTCTTAAGGACACTTATCACACACAATAATGCTGTTCTGCACCCAAGCTGATGTGCTGTTAGACCCTGCCTGAGGGCTGTGTTGTAAAAATGTTGCTGTTGAACAGAAATCCAAACAGCAACTGGCTTTGCAGGTGAAATATAAAATTTTAGTTGACAGTGCTCCATTTGGGAGTTTTATAACCATTAGATTCCGTGTTTAAAGTGTTGTAAACAGTGGACCTCAGATACTGGGTAAGGTCAGGATGTAAACAGCAAAGCTGGCTTACTTACTGTTAACAATAACCAGTAAAACTTCAGAAAACAAACTGGACTTTTCAATGATGAGTATAGTTTACAGTGTCTGCAAGAACAAAGAGGGCTTTTGTTAAAATGTGGTCAGGTAGATAATTATATCTCTCTTCCCTCGGGTCTTGCATTCGTCCATGCTACCCTTTATCAAAGGCACTTCTTCATTCCTCTGCACATGAAACAATCAACAGTTCATCATTAAGCCCACTTATCTTGGGGAGCTGTTCAGTAACAATCTGTCATGCAAGGGAGTTTTATGAAAGAAAATGGTATCTGCCATGCTTCAAGAGAAATCCATCATCTGGTTCGTTAGGCTTCTAAGCTCTGTTGCCTGCCTAATCTAGGCTTCATCTTGGCTTAGAGAGCCTTTCTTTAGACTTGGTGGTGTAGACTGAAGGTAACCAGCAGATGAGTACCAGGAAATCATGATTTCCTTTTATTGTAGAATTACCCTTTGGTGTGAGAACTGTGTGTAAGGCATTCAGGATGTGTGTGAGCTGGTGGGCTGACCCAGCAATGCACCAGATACACTCAGGAGAACTGAGATGTTCATAATTTCCCTGTCTTCTCCACCAAGCTACAGTTTTATTACTTCAAAATAAAGCAACATAGTATAACTTTACCACTGAAGTCATTGACCCTTTCTCCTTGGACACCAAGGGGATCTATCACATCCTTGCAACTCCCACACTCCTTCGTGCCTTCAGGTCCTTTGGCAGTCTTTTACATGAGCTGCTTCTTCCAGAGTTATTACACCATCAGCAGAGGTCAGCCATCCCCTGTGGGCCCTTTTTGGGGGACTTTCTTAGGAACTTGAGTCTTCCTTCTGATTTGGAGGGTTCCTCCTTCTGACAGATTGCTACAATTAGTTGATGTCTCATTATCTCCTGATACCAGCTCTGTCAGTCTGCAGTGGGAGACAACAGATTGGTCATGGTTTGGGAGCTAAGCCCAAATCTTTTAACAGTCTATCACACACTGTGACAAGTGTAGTTTGAATTTCCATTAGAAAATGTGTGGTGCCCTATCTCAGTTTCTTGGGTGAAGCAAATATGACTTGTTTTTATTTCCCAGTTCAGGATATTCCACAAACTTCAATGGAAAAAAATTCTAATACAAGTAAATGGTTGATAAGTCTTAAAACCTGCATTAAAAAATGTGTTGTGATTTTTGATTTGAAGTAATAAAATACTTTTAGCCAGTTACATGGCTTTTATATTTCCTAGGGACTATGTAAGCAATTTTGAAATTTTGTATCAGGGGTTTTATGCATCATTATTGCTTTAATGACACTTTCATCAACAACACCATCCAGTAATGGAAGCTGCTCAGAATGTGCCTGATGTTAATAGGCACTGTCAAAGTTACTCTGAAAATGATGACTTTGATGGGGCTCCCCTCTGAACCAGCCTGTCTTACAGATTCTAGTGGCGTTAGGTTTCTGAAAAAAACAGAATAAAAAATCAATTCATATCCCAGCAGAATGGTTTAACAGGGAGGCTAATTCTGATATCCTGTCATTGCTGATAGGATGGAAAACAGTGTGGGTTCAACAGCTGATGGTGTGACAGACAGCACATTTTTCTACTTTCAGTGGAGCAATTGCAAAATTGCAAAAGCTGTGCATGAGTGACTGGAGCCATGAAAAGTGGAACTGCTACTGAAGATGTGTGTTTGGAATGGCTTTAGGCAGCACGAGGTATTGCTGGGCAAGGGGCAGAATGACACCTGGTGATCAGTATCTCTGTCACTGCCAGGCTCCCTTTCTCCTGGTCACCTTACTTGTTGTGGAGACCAGGCAGGGGAGCAGATTCTGTCCCTGGAGATTGTCATCATGCAGAGCTGCTACTGTAGGATTGGTACTAGGGGTTGGATGTGGCACAGAGCAGCTATCCCACATCACAGGCTGTCTTGTTGCCTGAGTGACAGAAAACAAATACACCACAGAAAATGCTGCTCGAGTAAAGGACAAAGTTCTCCCTCAAAAGTAGGTCATTAATGAAGTTGAGGTCCAGATAGCCAAAGATTTTTAATATTCAGCAAATGTCATTGCAGAACACTGCATTCAGACTTGCTTCCTCTTAGCAATCTACAATATGGCTCTATAAGGTCCATGCAAAATTCCCTTTTATTTTATTCGACAAATGTTGAAATGGCTTTCACATGGATAGTATTAAACAGCATCAAATGCCAAGGTGATACCAGATAGACTAGGATAAGAGTGTGGCATTCTTAAAAAAGGAGAAAAGTTGTTAGGAAGACCGTAGCATTCAGAGAAATATAACTAATGTATGGAAGAGCTGAAAGTTTGAGTGTTGTTTTTCTTTGCATTAAAAGATAAATCTGACACCAATGATATTGAAAGCGGAGGATATGTTCATGGGATGGGAATGTGTTATTCAAGAAGAGGATGTGTGAAAAAGAACAGTGCAAAAAGCACTGGCTGCTTGTGCTGTGTGTGGAGCATCTAAGGGAGTAAAACAGCGTAAGCTGCAAACTTACAAATGTTTTGGAGTGTAATTGAATCTCTCTCTCCCTCTTGGCTTTTGTAACTGTGTGCTATCAAATTGCCCCTGCTTGCCAAGGAACTGGTACTGATCAGGATCAATTTTATGTAAATTGTTTGAGACCAGAGGGAGCCATGTTTCGGGTTACACTGATACCCCATGGGATAACTAACCTTGGAAGCACCGTAAAATCTCTTCAGTTTAAAATATCACTATTTCAGATTCCAAATTATATTTTCTTTCCCATTTGACACATTTTTGAGGAAAACTTGGATTTCTCTTAGCAAGGACTTCACATTTGCTTTCAGTTATGGTGAATGGGGGAAATTGTTGGTTAAATTCCTGTTTAGCTCTATACATTGAAGATGATGATACAGCTTTGACTGTTTCACCTTCACTGAATACTAAAAGTTGAATAATTGGGAGGAAAAACAAATATGTTGACTATTTAGAGTAGAGTATTATAGCTGTCTCCTGTTTTTGCCAGTTCAAATTGTCAAAATTTTCCACTCTTGCAACTGCATCTGCCTGATTTCCAGAGCTTTCCTTGAATTTCACCAAAATAAAGAGAATTAAAACAGGCTTGGGGTTTTTTTGGTCTTTTAAGTGCGGTTCAAGAGGGATGAATCTCTGATTTTATTTTTGAAATAAGCTTTTAATCTTTTAAATTAGTGCTTATTATTCCTAACGTACACTTAGGCTAAGTAGGTTGCCCATGCCAATGCATGGAAGAATTGCTTGCAGAAATGAGAAACATTTGAGCCCAGCATGTTACAAAAACCTTTGAAGTATGTGGAGAGACTGGCTTTTTCTATTATCAGTGCTAAGGTGGTAACACATCAGCCACTAGGAATTCAGTGGCATGGCTGGACTGGATACCTTTCTTGTTTTCCCTGGCTCACTCTTGCTTCAGACCTTTGCTATTTTTCTTGATGGGCAGAATATAGATTCTAGGGTGTGATTTACTCTCCTGGCTAATCTTGGTGCATTTTTAATATAAGCTGAGGCTAATGGCAACGTTTTATCTTCCCAGCAATTTCCGATTCTTGATGGTTGCTTTGGCCTATGCCATACCACTGGGTGTTTTCTCTGGCTGGTCTGGTGTTCTGGATTTGATATTAACACCCATTCATGTAAGCCAGGTAAGTTTCTCCTGATTGATAATCAGCAACTATTTTGTAAGTGGCATGTTTTTATTTTGCACTAGCATGCACTTTTATCAGGTTTTTATGTTTAACATGCTGTTAATATATATGGACCACTTTACTCCCTGAAATTTTAAACAAAATGAACTGTAGCTTTGGCATCCCAAACTGTCAAAACTCTCCCTGCTGACTCCCCATCAGTGGTGAGTGTTTTCAGAACTGTACATGCCTTGTAACAAAAAGGAAGAAGTAGGTAAAAAAATGGGAGTATTGTTGGCTGCTGCATCTCCAGTGAAAGAAAATAATGTATGCATGGTAGAAAAGATGAAGTGGGGACAAGATGATTTCTAAGCTTTTGATAGAGTATTACAAAAAAAACAGAGGACATTACTCAGATTCCATAAAGAGAGGTCACATTTAGGGCATAGACTACTTAGTCTTACTTCTTGTGGTGAATTTATTTCCTTTCCCAGAAAAAGCCTTGCACTTCAGACTATTGTAGAGAGCTGTTCTTAGCAGTTTGGAGCCCATGCACAACACTTGTTTTGAAAGTAACATCATCTTATTTTCTGAGCTTTAACACATTTCTCTATGTTCTGTTTCATTTTTTTTTCTCTGTCAGGTGGATGCAGGCTGGATTGGATTTTGGTCTATAGTTGGAGGTTGTGTTGTTGGCATAGCAATGGCAAGGTAGGAGTAATTACAGGTCCTTCTCCATTTCTTCAATTGTGATTATCATTCAGTTTATCCTCTTAAGAACAGAACTTGCTTTCTCTCATCTTTCAGAAACTTGAAATGGAAAATTCCTTTTGGGGTTATAATGTGTTTCTAGTAAAGCAATAATTCATACCATGTTAGTGGTTGCTGGGGATTGAAAACTCCACATGCATATACCTGAATTTGGAAGTCAGATTCTTGTTCCTGACAATGGCTTCCTGTATGCTGCTTTTAAAGACAGCTCTGGTGAATTCAGCTGCCTGGTATGAGGGGGAAGAACCTCATTGTAGCACATTTGGAAAGCATTGAAGAAATTATTTTCTGTCTCCTTCCATTAACACTTTTGGGCATATTGTTTCCCAAAGGGATGTAGGGAATGTAGCACAGGCAGCCTACCCACAATAACATTATGTTCCTCCAGAGAGAAATTAGCCTGGGCCCATTTTGGGCAGGTTGCTGGATTCCTGCATAGCCTAACTATTTTCTGCTGTATCCTATGGGCTACAGTATGGGTGTGTATGCTTTTTGTAAATCCAGACACAGCTGTCTCTGGCCATCATGAAAGCTGATGACCTGGGGAGTGGAACAGCAAGAAAAGGATTGCCCTTCCAAAAGGCTGCTGTTTCTCATTCTTTGAGGTCCCCTTTAGGAAAAAAGATGGTGGCAGGGAGAAAAAGTCTTTTAGGAGGTACCTGAGCAGTGAGTTTATTATGTGATTAAAACCAATTTGGGATATCTGAGCATTGTCCTGGCTTCTTTGTGTCCACTCTTGTGGCTCCATGTGCAGATATCTGCAATTGTTGCATCATCATGGTGTTGTGGATGGAGAGAGTGATCTTTTTAGGACTCTTTTTTTTTCTTTTTGAAACTCTCTTGTTTTCTCTTGCTGTGCTTCATCAGAGTACACAATGCATAAAGAAATGTGAAGTTTCACATCCTGACATTTTGCAGGCTGCCTAGCAACTGCAACAGGGAGAGGAAAAAACTCCTGACCTAGGGAGAAGAAACAAGTGCTTCTCTCCCATCTACTCCAGATGCAGACCAAAGGACTTCATCTAGCCAATCAAAGTTCATGCCCTGATTTCCCCTAAAAAGAGTTGCTTTTGATTAGCCAAGCTCAGATACAATGTTTTCTCTGTAAGAGAGTAGATGTTTAAAAGCAACTGCTGCAAATGACACAGATGCCATAGGTTGCATGTTGAAGCAGGTAGACTGCCATTTTTCATCATGAGTTCATCTCTAGTATATTTGCAGCATTTCAATAGTAGAGCTTTGAAACTCACTTAACTTTACTGGGAGAGAATTTGCAAACTCTATGTCAACATGCAAATCTCAGTCTTTATGGTAGATTAATTTATTTAATATGCTGCCTGGGTTTAGTTTCAGGAAATGCAGGCAGTCCCTTTAACTGCTTCAAAATTGATTTCAAACCTTGTTGAATACCTGTATTTTGTAGCATTTAGTAAATTTAAGAAATACCAACAGTCTGTCTCCAAATATGTCTTTCTAACTTGGGCGATGCACAGTTCAGATGGGAGGGTTTGCATACAGAAAGGGAGGGAGGAGGTGATTTGTCACTTCTGATGGATGACTCTCCCTCCTAGGCCTATTCAGCATTTATCTGTGTAGGGTTGAATCAATGACGAGTCTGACTGTAATCTGCTGAAAGTTGTAATTAGGAAAATTAAGTAATGATTCTTGTCAAAGCTGACAAGTTGATATATTTCAGTGTCAGAACTGTGATTTGCCAAGCAAGCAGCTCTCTCCCTTAACCACCTCTCAAGAAGCTGTTAGTTTTGGGGTGGATTTTTTTTCCTTTTTTTTTCTTCTGCTAATTTGTTAAAGCAAAATTGGTGCATCTTAGGAATTTGCTCCTTCCATTTTTGTCAATGCAGATCCTATAATTTAGAATTTTTAACAACCTGAGCCTTGCCCTTGAGCATTAGGTCCTGTACATCACAGTAGGCGTTAAATCATCTGTATTTAAAGTAATGCCCAGTTTGGAAATTTGTTTATCTATCTCATTTTGAAAATGCTGCAAGTTTCTCTCAGCATTAGACATAAATCGTTCTACTCTCCACCCACTGCTGTCCTGATAGCCATGAACTTATATGTTTAGCTAATGTGTTTGATGCATTTTTATCATTGAAAAGCCTGGCCTATTTTGGGCAGCTGGTAGGTGCTGTACCCTTTGCTGGCAGCTTTCAAATGCTACTAGTTTGAAGAAAAGCAGTGTCAAAGAGCAGCATTCCTATAATTGCATGGAAACATAAATCTATTCCCTTTTCTCAGATTTTTTAATTTTTTTTCCCCCCACATTTGCCAGGGATCATAGATATTTCTGAGGTTTTGTCCTCTGCAGCTCAGTTTCAGTTCCTGCTTCTAACCTGCAGTGTAGTCAAAATGCTGAAACTTTATGGCATGGTGATAATTTCCTTAGCAACAGACAGTGTTGTCAGCAGTGCAGGTTTGTGATTTTAACTGTAGGATACAACCTAGGGCTGGATCTGCTGGGAGGCTGGAGACTGTTAGCAGCAGTAGGCTCAGGGGTGTGTGTCTGGCAGAGTATACACCTTCTCTCCTGTTGTGCCTACTGTTTTAGCAGTTGCAGGCAACCCCTTACATGCCAGATGATGCAGAAGGATTTATACAGAACAAAGGTTTGAAATCAGGTACAGGGTGTGAGGATAAAAGTCATTTCTCATATTTTTTGATTGAAGCAAGTATTATGAAGAGTAGACTGGGTTTACAGTCTTCTTTATTCTCCTGTAACCAGACAAGAAACAGAAGTCCTTCAATTACCAAGTTCAGGCTAGGTTATTATGTCATCTTTTTTCAATTATTTCTATTGCTGGCTGAATCCAATAGCTAAATAAATCTTTACTTTGGGGTACATTTGACCCTTTTGGAGTTCTATGGTATCTAAGAGCTCTTTGGAGCACATTGCTACCCAAACTGGCATCCTTGTGTCAGGAAGAGTGGCAACTGCTTGCTAAAGGAGAGATTTTCTCCATTAGCTGTCATGAATGGATTAGATGCATATCAGCCTCCCATCCCCACATATCCTTGGTGGTGGGATAGAGACCAAGGATCCTCTAGAGATCACCCCAGACCTGTAGTCTGTGAATGTCCCTCCCAGAAGGCTGATATTTCTCACATTGTTTCATTAGACAGGACCTTCGTCACTGCCCTTGCCTGTAAGGACAGTGATGTTGTCTGCCAGCAGGCAAAGTGGGAGTCTCTGTGGAATAACATGGAAGTTTACACTTTGAGATGCTTCTGCAAAGCTTTTAAAATTGCTGATTTTGACCCTAGTGATCCCAAAGAATAATTAAAGAAACTCACTGGCAAACCAGTGAGGTGATCCTGACTCCTCGATTGGATTGTCAGAAGAAAAATCCACCAGTAGCAGCTGACCTCTGGCTATTGGAGATGAATGCATAAGCCACTTGAACACTGCAGTCATAAACTTCTCAGATTATATGCAGCATTGATCTCCCACTACTGCTTATTGAATTACTCACTGCTAAATTCAATGTGGAATTCGGGCATGGGGAGAATCAAAATACAAGGAAAGAAGTTGGTTTGGGGGAGCAGAGAGTGTTTGAGTGCATTACTCCTATGTCTCTTATGCTATTTTTGGAAGTTTTCAAAATTTTGGCAGCATTTCCTGTTTTATCAAGTAAGCTATAAGGTATCTGCTTATAGAGTGTTCTTGTCAGGGCAGAGAAAGCAGTCAGCTTGTAGACAGACAAATTTTGTCATGGACCAGCCTGGGTGGATTATGCTGCCATTAGCCTGATCAAGGCAGGAGCCTGTCAAGGGGGCAGAAAATATGCTTTAGAAATACATACCTAACCTGTCCATCCCAAAAGCACATCTCCTAAGCAGGAGATTATAGGAAATTACTCATGAACAAATAAGATTGCCTTTTCTAATATATCTTTCCCAGTAGTTAGGTTCACATCCCCTTTGAAAAGAGCAGTTCCACTGATACTTATGCCACACGAGCACTGCTCATTCTGTCTCCTTGAAAGAAAAAGGAAAAAAAAGAGAAAAGCAGTTGTACCATCAGGTGGTATAAATATCATAACTCCCTCTGTATAAGAGCCAGACTGCCCAAGGACTTGTGGGGCTGTCCTCCCCCAGTCTGTCAGCAGGGTCTGTGTAGAAGAGGCACAGCCCCAAGCTTGTGGTTTCTGGAACTTTTCAACCCAAAACAGCCACTGGCAGAGTGATCCCCTGTGTAAGGAGTTCCTTCCTTGCCTAAGCCACCACAAGCTTCATCACCAATGCATCCAAGGGTTCAGAAGCTGTTCCTTGTCATCTTCAACTAGGGATTCTTTGGACTTTTTTGGAGTTTTTCCATTTCCCACAGGAATGAATCTTGACGCTTAACTATGTCTTGAATGAAACGCGGCAGCCTCCTCATATGCTAATGGAGCTCTGTGTCTGCCAAGGGAGACTGGCAAATGCTGACAAAACAGTGATGGAAGTAGTGGTGAGATACTGTGTCCAACAAATGCAAAAGGAAAAAAAAAACTCTCCTCCAGTGTTTTCATGTGATGCCTTGAAAATTGCTTGAGAATTGTTCTGGTTTGGTTGTTACTTTGTGACAGCTAAAAAATCCATGGCTCTTCAGCTTGACAGCTAGAAATATCACCATTCTATAAAAATACCTTTTTTCTATTTCTGAAAATGAGAAATTACTTTTAAATTGTTTTTATAGTCTCCAAAATGTTTAATGAGGATATACTGAATTAACTGTCAAGCATCACATTTAAATAATATGAAAATTGGTGTTTGTACTGCTCTGATGTGTGTTTTTATTTTAGATTTGCAGATTTTATCAGGGGCATGCTGAAGTTTATACTGCTGCTGCTTTTATCTGGAGCAACGTTAGCATCAACCTGGTTCACTCTCACCTGTCTAACTTCTGTCACTCATCTGCCTTTAACCACAGGTATTGACAATGATTTTAATTCCTGTTCTTTATAATTGATATTGCAGGCAAATATTTGCAGTCTTCAATATCTTATAACCTGGTTTGGTATCTTTAGTAATACAGTAGTTTTACTGAGACAAAAAAAATGTTTAGAAAGTCTATTGAAACCTGAAATATTTTCACTCCTTTGAATAATTCAATAAAAAGATTAAAAACTTGAAAAACCCAATAACAGGAGCCCTGAATACAGATTTAAATTTGATTTGGGGACTAAGTGTTTTTCTGCTTTTGAGTCCTTTGGAATAACTGAAGTGAGAAATAAATCAAGAAAAATCAGATGAATGAGAGTAGTCTTGCATATAAGAAACAGTGACATGTGTGGGAATTTAGGGGTTTGAAACTTGCATTAGTTATTAGAAACACTTGGTGCATTTCAAACCAAGGTGACCCATAGTGTTTTCAGCCATCTAAATCTGTCCCTGCACAGTGCTGTCCTCTTTTCTTGCACCTGCATGCAGGTTCAGGGAACTCTTCCAGCCCAAAATTAACTCAGCCTGTGCCTCAAAAAGACAGGAAAAAAAGCAGTTGGCAGGAGTGGGGGAAAAGCTCAGAGGTCTAGCTGGGCTGCCAGCGAGCTGCACCCTTAGTTGAAAGCTAGCACTGATTAGTTCTTAAAAATCTGTCCTTCACCTTATTATCTGCACCAAAGGACTGATTCACCTGTGATTCCAAGACCTTCGACAGAGTAGCAAGTTACAATAAAACCTAAGCCATTAGAGTTCAAAAATATATTTATTTAGTAAAGAATTCTATAAATCCATTTTAAATGAAGGACCATCTCTGTTACAAGCAATTTATGCATTCTAGGAGAAATGAAAACCTTTTTTTGCCTATTTTTAATAAAAGAGTTTGGTGGGGAGAGTAGTATATAGAGTAGTGTTTTACTCAAATTAAGTTTGAGTTTCACTAAGTGTCCTTGGTGCACTGCAAATGTCACAACTATAAACTAAAGTGGGTACAGCAAATTGAAATACATGATCAATTCAGGAGCAACACCATCTGGATGGATAGGTCAAATTTGTGCTTTATCTTGAAATTTCAATGCTTTCAAAAATTCTGCTTAAATAAAACATAATATAATCAATAAATAAATCAAATTTCATGATGGCTGTTGTCATACTAAATGACTACACATTTCCATCAAATCTAAAATAAAAGCAATAAAAGCTTTTTTCTCATGCTTGCCTGCTTCATCACTACAAGCCTGCAGTAATGTAAATTTTTACAGTAACTCTATCCTCTGAATTGATGCAACAAACCAAACACATAAATGACCCTTCAAGTCTATGCATAAGAATGAAGAAACGTTTCAAGAGGGGAAAGTCATTACCTACGTACTCACCAGTGTTCCAAAACAAAACTGATGGAGCTCTCTCTGATTTTTTTTTTGTTTTTTTTGTAAAGAATTCAGCATGCAGCATAGGTTGTACAAGAATTCTTATTTTTTACAGCGTGTAGTTGCTTTGTGCTGGTTTTTTTTTTGGAAAGGTCATCCACTGTCAGGACATGAAAGTAGGTAGGGTATTTGAGGTTTGATATATAGTGTCCTAAACTAGCATCTCTTGATTCAAATGCAGAGATTGGGTTGTACTTCTCATGCAATTACCATTTCTCTTAAAATGGATGATTCCTTGGATTAAGTTGTAATTACAGATCAGATTTTTCTGTCAATGCTTTTCTTACTTATGCCACTGTAAATACTGAACCCTTTTCTTTAAAACACAAGCTTGTTTTGAATAGAGTGCCAGGAATGTGGTGCATTCCTCAAGAAAAAAAAAAAAAAAAGGCAGTCTAAAGCATCAGTCTAATGTGCAGCCAGAAAATAAGATCTCTTTAAGATCTCTTTTTCCTGCTGTTTATATTTCATAGATATGCAGTGGGGGAAGGTTCTTATCAGGCTTTTCTCATTAAAGTTCTTAAAAAATAGATGTAATGTGCCTGTTCAATTTAGTTCCTTGTACACAGAAAAGCAGTGCTATATCTTTATGAAATATGCTGTTATGGATGAAAACACACAAGCTATTTAAGCTAATTTATAGGACTTCATGCTAGATTATTCCTCAGTGTAATGATGCAACATGATGATGACCTCTGCATTCACAGTAATTGGGAGAAACGGTACATTTGAATTGATTTGGATGAACTTCTTTTTATTCTTCTCCTTTTAATTAAAAGTTTGAGATACAGAGTGTATTGGAGTACAAATCTAAGAGGTCAAATTCAGGCTGTGGGCTGGCAGTGTGGGCTGGCAGCTTTTGGAAGTGATTAGTGGTAGCTGGTACCAGGTGGCAGTCACTGTGCATATCAGTGGGCAAGTGTTGACAATGGACTGCCAAGTAGTTATTTGCTGTGTGGTTTTTGTAGAGCTTGAAGATGTGCAAAACAAAAGCAGATATCATTGTGGGGCATTTCCCTCATTCATATTTTTTTAATTTTTTGGTTGATTTTTTTTCATCTACTTTTTCTCTTTTCTTTTCTTTTCTTTTCTTTTCTTTTCTTTTCTTTTCTTTTCTTTTCTTTTCTTTTCTTTTCTTTTCTTTTCTTTTCTTTTCTTTTCTTTTCTTTTTTCTTTTCTTTTTTCTTTTCTTTTTTCTTTTCTTTCAGAAAAAGTCCATAAAGTACTTTTTATTCCAGAGCCACTTTGCAGGCAGCAGTGGACACCTGCTGCAAAGCAGTGGTTGTGTTATTCAAGGCAGGTTTTGATGTTGCCAGAAGGTTCATGGGCTCCTCCACTTCCACCTGTCCTGTGGCAGAGCTCAAGTGTTGGGCTTGGCAGTGCTGCAGAGCCAGTGATGGATCTCAGTCCACACTTTCAGCCTTATTCAAATGCTGAGGCAGAGCAAGCAGGGTTCAAAACTGACATGAGAATTTGTGGGGGTGTACATTTGATCTTCCAAAGAGGTTTTCCCTTCCAACCATGTAGCTCCCATTTTGGGAGGGACTTCCCCCTCCTCTCTTGGCCTGCCTCCAGTGTTGAACAAGTCAGGCTTTGCCCTACAAAGCCACAAGTGTTGCCATCTTCAGCAATACCTGGGAACTGCTGAAATATCCACATGATCTGAAGGATTGCTGGTACAGTTAAAAGGCAGCTCTTCCACAAAACAGTCATTTTGGGGAGGAGACAAGACACCTTTGGGAGCCTTTGTACTGGCCCAGGTGTTGAGGCAGGCTTCACCACAGAGATGAGGTCTGGTTAGATGCCATCACCACTGGCTGCTGTATCTCACCTAACAGCTGCTTGATCCATGAATTAAGTTTGCATCTATAGGCAGACCCTGACAGTAGTTTCCCCAGGTCCAAAGCCAGTCTTTTCCTTTAGCATGTGGATATTGGGTGACATAAGCTCATCTCCCCCTTCTGAAAACCCTCTGCTTGTCTCCAACCTGGGCTCAGAGCAGGCAGTAGGTGGATGTGTTTTTATGGAAGCATAAAAAAAATGAGAGAGTTAGGCCAATTATTCACCCTAAAAGAAAAGGAGAAAAATCTCAAAATATTAGTTTTTAAAATACAAACCAACCAAAGTTTTCTTTTAATTGGTGTTCTTTGTGGCAGTTTTAGTAATGTCTGTTTTAAATACTGGAGGAGGGAAGGTATTTGAAAAATGGTCACAGCAAAATATATTTTCCTCACCTTGTTTGTATAATATTCTCTTAATTCCTTTTAAATAAGCACAACATCATTTAAAGATATTTCCTACAAAATGTAATTACTTAGAATGGAGACCTTTAATGCAGTTATTAAAAATCAATGACTGCATTTGTGGTTTTAAATTATACTGTTTAGGATTGTTTGTGTTGAGTAATGCCTGCATTGCTTCGTATTTGCATAATACACTCCATTTTTCCTCCTCCCATGGAGGAAGACAAGTTTTGTGTCATTTGCTGACTTCTTAATGTAACTCCAAAAGACTTTATAAAAAGTGTAGTCATAGTTGTATATATGAACCACAACCGCCCGTGTGGGGAAAAAAGAAAGCAAGGCAATAATGATACAGTGCCAGCTACTATATCATCTGTCTAAAACACCTCTCATCAGCTAATCACAGCTCTCCAAAAACCTTGATTCTGGAATTGGTTTATATTTTAAGCAAGCCTGAATTTTATTTTAAGAAATTTTAATTTTAATGTACATTATTTGCATTTCAGTTTCAAAGACAATTTTATGTACACATAGAGCATTAAAATAGTTTTCTCCATTGAATTCTCAGTGCAGCTGCTGATCTGTTTCTCTTTGCCAAGTTCATTGTTAGTTTGCTTTGTACTGAACTTCATTATGTGAATTTATGTACAATGGGATACTTCGACCCAAAATAATTGTGTAAGGCATTGTATTGCCAGTTTCAGTATCTTGCCACTTTGTATTGCTGGTAGGATCGCTGGATACAAATACCAGCATTTTCCAAAAATTGATATGCAACACTAGTTGCTTGCAGCTCAGATTGAATGTTTTCGGTGTAGCATATCAAGAATATTCTAATATTTATGAGCACATTCAGCAGAAGTTTGCTTTACAAAATCTTTTCTAGTGCTGCATGGCAGACACTGAATACAGTGGCAACTCCATAAGCTGATGACTGTATTTAGGTTAAGCAGGCCACACTTTTATTTTCAGGTTCAACAGATTGAACATTGTAAACACATCTGTCTCTCTGTCCTCATCTACAAAGCACAGAAAAAGAAAGGTGATAATAATATAATACTGATTGGTTTATTATTTCAGTTTAATTTCTTTACTATAAACAAGATGTGCTTGGTAAGTGTAAGGCAGGGGAGCCCAGAGGATAAAACAGTGGCCTGAAAACATTAACCTGCTTAGGGCTTTGGGCAAATCATTACCCCAACTCCTGCTGTGCTTTTCTCACTCATAAGATGGGAATAATGACCCTTGTTTTGCTGACAGCTTCTTTAACTTCACAAATAGAAGAGTGCTTAAAGAAAAACTAATTTAGGGGGTTATTT